TGAAACTAAGAACTGGTTTTAAAAAAGATAAACCAAATTGACAAACCTTCAGCTAGACTAAGAAAAAAAGAGAAAGTATTCAGATAAATAAAGTTAGACACAAAAGAAAGTTAAGACCTTACACTAGATACAAAAGAAATACAAACAATCATAAAAGACTACAATGAGCAACTGTGAGATAAATGAAATAACCTAGAAACTATGGATAAATTCCCAGAAACACATCAGCTACAAAGACTGAATTAGAAAAAAGCAGAAAATCTCAACAGATCAATAATTAATACTGAGAATGAACTAATAACCACAAATCTCCCAACACAGAAAACCCCAAGAAACTTTTCTTCACTCTCCAATTCTGCTAAACATTAAATTATAACTAATGCTTCCCTCAAGCTCAGTCAGTAAATCATTTGCCTGCAATGCAGGAGACCCAGGTTTGATTCCTAGGTCAGGAAGATCCCCTGGGGAAGGAAATGGCAACCCACTCCAGTATTCTTGCCTGGAGAATCACATGGACAGAGAAGCCTGGTGGCCTACAGTCCATGGGGTCGGAAGGGGTTGGACTTGATTTAGTGACTAAACCACCACCATAATTAATGCCAATTCTAAAACTCTTCTAAAAAACTGAAGGGGATAAAACACTTCCAGACTCCTATAAGACCAGAATAACACTTATATCAAAGTCATATAAGGAAACCTATAAAGAAAACCTATAAAAAAAACAAACAGAAACCTATAAACCAATATCCCTAATAAATGTAGATGCAAAAAATTATCAACATGCATTTTAGCAAAGGACTTCAAGAATAATAAAAGCCAATTATGATAAACATACAGACAAAATAATACTCAATAGTGAAAAGGTGAGAGCATTCCTACTAAAAACTGGGACAAGTTAAGGATGTCTATTCTCACCACTATTTTTCAACAGAGTTTTGGAAGTCCTAGCCACAGCACCAGACAAGAAAAATAAATAAAAAGGAATCAAAATTGGAAAGGAACAAGTGAGGCTCTCAATCTTTACAGATGACATGATACTTAACAAAGAAAATCTTAAAGACACCATCAAAAAACTACTACCAGGATGAATTTGGTAAAATTGCAGGATACAAAATTAATAAACAGAAATCTGTCATATTTCTACATAATAATAATGAAATATCAAAAAGGTGATTGAAATATACACATTACTATATATATATATGTATATATATATATATATAACATAGACAACAAATAACACCACACTGTATAGCACAGGGACTCTCCTTAATACACATTAATGACCTACATGGGGAAAAATCTAAAAAAAGGTGGATATATGTATACTTATAACTGATTCACTTTGCTGTACAACAGAAATCAACACAGCATTGTAAATCAACTCTACACGAATAAAATTTTAAGAAATAAAATAAAATTGCATCATATAATAAGATATTTAGGAATAAATCTGATCAAGGAGATAAAAGATTTATAAACTGAAAACTATAAAACATTGATAAAGAAAATTGAAGATGAATTCAAAAAATGGTGAAAAAAATATCAAATACTTGGATTGAAAGAATTAATATCAATAAAATGTCCATAACAACCAAATAAATCTATAGATTTAATATAATCCCAGTCAAAATATCCATGACATTTTTCCCAACACTAGATCAAATAATTCAAAAATTTATATGGACTCATAAAAGATGCAGAATTTCCAACGCAATTCAGAGGGAAATGAGCAAAGCAAGAGGCATAACCCTCCCAGATTCCATGCAACAGTCCAAAGCTACAGTAACTAAAATGGCATGGTATTAGCACAAAAATAAACGTGGGGTCAATGGAAGAGAGTAGAGCCCAAAAGTAAATCCAATTAGAACCAAACATGGAACAATGGGCTGGTTCAAACTGGGGAAAGGAGTTCATCAAGACTGAATACTGTCACTTTATTTATTTAATTTATACGCAGAGTACATCATGAGAAATGCTGGATGAATCACAAACTGGAATGAAGATCATCAGGAGAAATGTCAACAACCTCAGATATGAAGATGATACCAACCCAATGACAGAAAGCGAAGAGGAACTAAAGAACCTCTTGATGAAGGTGAAAGGGGAGAGTGAAAAATCTGGCTTAAAACTTAATATTCAAAATGGCTAAGATCATGGCATTTAGTCCCGTCACTTCATGGCAAATATATGGGGAAACAACGGAAACAGTGAGAAACTTTATTTTCTTAGGCTCCAAAATCACTGCAGATGGTGACTGCAGCCATGAAAATAAAAGACGCTTACTCTTTGGAAGAAAAGCTATGACAAAACTAGATGGTGTATTAAAAAGCATAGACATCACTTTGCTGATAAAGGTCTATTTAGTCAAAGCTATGGTTTTTCCAGTTGTAGTGTACAGATGTGAGATTTGGACCATAAAGAAAGCTGAGCACCGAAGAATCAATGCGTTCATACTGTAGAGCCAGAGAAGACTCTTGAGAGTCTCTTGGATAGCAAGGAGATCAAACCAGTCAATCCTAAAAGAAATCAACCCTGAATATTCATTGGAAGGACTGATGCTATAACTAAAGCTCCAATACTTTGGCCACTTGATGTGATAAGTCGATTCATTGGACAAGACCCTGATGAGAAAGATGGAAGGCAGGAGGAGAAGGGGATGACAGAGGATGAGATGGTTGGATGGCATCACTGACTCAACGGACATGAGTTTGAGCAAACGCCTGGAGATGGTGAAGGACAGGAAAGCATGGATCACAAAGAATCGGACATGATTTAATGATCAAACAATAGTCAGTCTTTGACAAAGAAGGCAAGAATATACGATGAGAAAACATTCTTTTCAACAACTGTGTTGGGAACATTGGACAGCTGCATGTGACTCATTGAACTTAGAACACCCCCTCACACCATATAGAAAAATAAATTCAAAATGGCTTAAAAACTTAAGACATGACTCCATAAATCTACCAGAGGAGAACATAAGCAAAACATTCTCTGACATAAATCATACCATTGTTTTTCTTCGGTCAATCTACTAAGGTGATAGAAATAAAGGTAAAAATAAACAGATGGGACCTAATAAAGCTTGCAAGTTTTGCATAGCAAAAGAAATCATATGCAGGATGAGAAGACAACCTATGGACTGGGAGGAAACATTTGCAAATGATGTGACCAATGAGGGCTTAATTTCCAAAATATTAAAATAGCTCGTACAATTCAATAACAAAGAAAACCAAAACAAACAACCTAGTCAAAAAATGGACAGAAGACCTAAATAAACATTTCCCCAAAGAATACATACAGATAGCCAATAAGCACATAAAAAGACACTCAAAATTGCTAATTATTACAGGAATACAAATCAAAACCACAGTTAGGTACCACCTCTTACTAGTGAGAATGGTTATTCTCAAAAAGTCTACAAATAACATATCCTGGGGAGAATGTGGAAAAAAAGGAACCCTCCTGCACTGTTGGGAATGTAAATTGGTGCAGCCACTATGGAGAATAGTTTGGAATTTCCTCAAAAGACTAAGTATAGAATTGTCATATGATCCAACAATCTAACTCCTGGGCATATATCCAGAATAAATCTATAATTTGAAAAGAAACATGCACTCTATTTTCAGAGAAGTACTATTCATAATAGCCAACACATGGAAGCAGCCTAAATGTCCAAAAACAAGTGAGACTATATCAACCTTAAAAACGTATGTATAGCAAAGGAAAAAATAAATAAATAAAAAGCCTACCTATAAAATGGGCAAACATTTTTGCAGATCTTATATTTGATGATGGATTTACTTCCAAAACATAATATACAGAAATCATTCAACTCAGTTTAAAAAATTCCAATTTAAAAATGAACAGTTGAACTAAGGAGATACTTTTTCTAAAGAAGATATTCATATGGCTAGCAGGTACATGAAAAAATGCTGAATAACACTCATCATCACAGAAATACATATTAAAATCAAAATGAGGCATCACTTCAAAACCATTAGAATAGCTATCATCAATAAGATGAGATAACAAGTGTTGACAAAGATATGGAGAATTGTGATCCTGGTACACTAGTGATGGGAATGTGAAGTGGTTCAGCAACTGTGGAAAACAATATAATTTTTAATTAAATATAAATGTACCATATAGTCTAGCAATCCTATTTCTGGGTTTATATTCAAAGGAAATAAAATCAGAATACTGGAATGATGTATGCACCTCTATGTGTATTTCATTATTCACAATAAATAAGATATGAAAAAAAGCCTAAATTTATATATAACATGATGGTAGAGAAGTTAGAGAAAGACAAATGTTGTATCATATTACTCACAATGTCACATTTGAAAAAGTCAAACACATAAAAATAAAAGAGTAAAATGGAAGTTATCAGGACAAATGGGATGGCAATTTGAACATATATTAAGGTTGAAGCTTATAATTTGTAGTAAATAAGTGAAGGAAATCTAATGTAAAGTATAGGGAATATAAACTACTGCATTTATTATACTCATCAAACTTGTTAAGAAATGAATTTACTCAACAGAATAAAAGAATAATATGAACAGCTCTATGTCCACAAATTTAATAACTTAGATGAAAAGGACCAATTCACTAAAAGCTACAATTTGCCAAAATTCACACAAAAGAAACTGACAGTCTGAATAGGTTTATTGTTTTTAAACAAATTGGATTAATAATAAATATCCTTCCAGACCACAAAGCATCAGGCCTAGACAGGTCCACTGGTGAATTCTCCCATATATTTAAGGAATAAATTAAACATATTCTCTTACAACTTTTTCCAGAAAATAGAAGCAGAAATGCTACTTCCTACCTCATTCTTTGAAGCACGCATTATCCTAGTATCAAAACCAGAGATGTTTCAAGAAAACTGTAGACCAATATCTCTTGTAAATCAAAAGGAAAAAATCTTCAAGAAAATATTAGCAAATTAAATCCAATGATGTATAAAAAGGATTATACACCATTACCAAGTGAGATTTATCCAATCGATGTAAGACTAGTTCAACTTCAATGTAATCTATCATATCAACAGGCTAAAAAAGAAAATAACATGATTATAGCAATAGATGCAGGAAAAGTACTTGACAAAAATCTAATACTTATTCATGATAAAAACTCTCAATAACGAAGGAATACCTTGACTTATAGAATTCCCACAAAACTACAGTTAACATCAAACTTTATGGTGAGAAGCATTAAGTTTTCCCAGTAAGATCATGTCCATTGGGTCAGTGATGCCATCCAACCATCTCATCTTCTGTCATCCCCTTCTCCTCCTGCCCTCAATCTNGGAATGATGTTTTCAAAATATTGAAAAATAAAAATCCAGAGTTTCCCAGGTAGCTCAGTGGCAAAGAATCTGCCTGCCAATGCAGGAGACATAGGTTTATTCCCTGATCTGGGAAGATACCACATGCCAAGTACCAACCACACCTGTGAACCACAACTATTGAGCCTATGCTTTAGAGCCCAGGAGTTGCACCTACTGAGTCCATGAGCCACAACTACTAAACCCTGAGAGTACATGCTCTACAACAAGAGAAGCCTCTGCAATAAGGAGCCTGTGCACCACAACTTGAGAACATATCTCACTTGTCACCACTATAGAAAAGCCCATGCAGCAGTGAAGACTCAGCCCAGCCAAAAATAAGAACAAACGAGTATAGTGAAAGTCTCCTTTAAAAAAATAAATAAAATAGAGCCAAGAATACACTACCCATAAATGTTATCTTTCAGATGTGAATATGAAATACTTTTCAAGACAAAAGCTGAAGGAGCTCATCACTACTAAAACTGCCTTGCAAGAAATGCTAAAGGTTCTTTAAGTTGAAATGAAAGTATGCTATAGGCGACATAAAAATAAAGTAACAATTGGTAAAGGTAAATATACAGTTGTTGGACTTCTCTGGTGGCTCAATCGTAAAGAATCCACCTGCAGTGCAGGAGATGTGGGTTTTTATCCCTGGGTCAGGAAGATCCCCTAGAGAAGGAAATGGCAACCCACTCCAGTGTTCTTGCTGGTTTTGGCTGGTCCCTTTTCTTCTTCCTGATTTCTAAACATCAGTTCATTTTAGAACTCAGTTCTGGTCTCTTTCTTTTTCTTAATTTAGTTGCTTCATTTCACCTGCCTTAGGCTTTCTACCCCAGAAGTAAGCAGTCAACTCTGAAGACTTTAAATAACATCTTTACACTGGTAAATTCTGATTATTGCCAACCTTGCCTTTCTCAACTGAGCTCTTGACCTGTTTATAGAACCACCTCATTGTTATCTTCATTTGCTTATCTGTTATTTATTATAAACATAGCCTGTCTAAAATTAAATATTTCAATCCTTACATCTACTGTGTATTTGCTTTTACTCCAGTCACACACAAGTTTAAAGGAGGTCACTGGGAACCCACTCTAGTACTCTTCTCTGGAGAATCCCATGGACAGACGTGCTTGGGTGAGCTGCAGCCCATAGGGTTGCGAAGAGTTGGACATGACTGATGCCACTTAGCAGGCACACACCAGTCCCTTCCTTTAAGCACAAATTGTTCAAGTTACCAGCCCAGAAATTATTCTTGATTCTTATCTCTTTTCATTCCATAAATGGCATCAGAAAACCCTTGGTTTGATCTTATAAAACACACGATCTATTTACAATTTTTCTCTTTCCACTGATAATACTTACTGTGAAATATCACCTAACGTTGCCTGATTTATTGCAGTAGATTCTTGATTCAGCTTTGTTCCATAACATTCATTCTCTGCAGAGCAGATGGAGTGGATGTGTAACACTGTAAGTCAGATTATTTACTTTCTAAACAATTTCCTGTGCTTTCACTTAAAATTCCTAATCTTTAAAAAAGAATAGGAATATAAAATTTTCATGCTCTGGCCTTTTCTTAACACTCTGATAGTAATATATACACTTATTGTCAATGATAGAATCCACGTATAATGGTCATTATTGTGATTTGAATGCATTGCAAGCTTAGTCTTACCTTAGGAAGTTTGAACTTGACATCCCTTCTCCTATTGCTACAGGTCTCCCTTTTCATGATCAAATGCAGCTGAAATATCTCACTAGGTACCTTCAGGGAATAACTCATTTAAACAGCTAAATGGTTACTTTCCAACATATAATTCTTTATTTTTTTCACAACACTAAATGAACACTTCTTATATTTTTATTGTCATTTATTATTATTACTGGCACACACAGTAGGGAAATTTTACAAACTTGGGAACCTAGTCCATATTGATCAGAAATTTAATTCCACCACCTAGAATATAGTGTTTGAAGCAGAAAAGTCATTCAATAATTGGCATTGAATTAATGAACAGGTAAAAAGGAATTATAGCCACACTTTGCTTAAAGAACTTTTATTTTTGCTGTTATTGTTGTTTTGGGTTTTGTTGTAGGACAATGAAAGTAAGATGCAAATTCTTGTTCCTTGTTCCTAATAGAATATTATCAAGATTTCTAAAATGTGGATAATTAGATTCCACTACTCGGTATTCTCTAGTGACCAAATATTTCTGAAAATCTGGTAAAATAGATTTCATTTCTACTTCCAAAATTTTCTTTCCAGATTTCTTATTAATAGAAACACAGTTTTACTTACTGTCTCTACCTTTTTAGAACAGTGTATTTGGATTTCTTAGATATTTGTGCATCAGCAGTGATCGAGAGCTGGAGAAGGAAATGACAACCCACTCCAGTATTCTTGCCTGGGAAATCCATGGACAGAAGAGCCTGGTGGGCTATAGTCCACAGGGTCGCAAAGAGTCAGACATGACTTTGCCACTGAACAACAACAGTGATCAATAGACCTTACTTTGAGAAGTATTGGTTTTGAATTATTTGAATATCAGAATTGGTACACTTCATGATTTGCACAAAGAGTAGGAATGTGTTGCAGAGTCTGAAGGATTCTGCCAAAATTCTGACAGATGGTGGTAATGAAAAACAATAATTAAACATCCAAAGGTTTTTTTAAGAACAAAACATTTAAAACAGAATTCCTAACATTGTCTTTTATTATAATTTCTTTCTTAAACTTAGATTTACCAAAATCAATCTCCTCAATGCCCCCTTCACCTCTTTGTTTCTGAGGGTGTAGATCAGGGGATTTAGGAGTGGGGTGACAATGTTGTAGAAGAGGGTGAGGAACTTGCCTTGGTCCTTGGAGGAGCTGGCTCCTGGTTGCATGTACATGTAAATAATATTTCCATAGAAAAGTGAGACCACTGTGAGATGGGAGCCGCAGGTGTTGAAGGCCTTGTGCCTCCCGGAGGATGACTGAATGCTTAGTACAGCCCTCACGATGCAGCCATAGGAGATCAGGATAAACACCAAGGGTGACAGCACAATGCCTATTGCAAGAATAAAGGCAATGCCTTCAATGGCAGCTGTATTGACACAGGCCATCCGAATTAGGGCAGGCATCTCACACAAGAAGTGGTCTACCTTCTGGTACCCACAGCGGGGTAACCACAGGGTCATTGGAGACATGATCAAAGAGTTGGCCACCCCACAGCCCCAGGCTATCAACACCAAGCCTAGGCAAAGCCGGGGATTCATGATCACCATGTAATGCAGGGGCTTGCAGACTGCAACAAACCGGTCATACGCCATGACTGCCAGGAGCAGACATTCCACACCACCCAGACCCAGGAATAGGAAGAGCTGGATGGCACAGCCTGTGTAGCTGATGGTCTTGTCACATCCATTTAGGTTGTACAGAAGCTGAGGGATGGAGCTGGTGGTGAAACTAAGGTCCAGGAAAGAGAGATGGGTGAGGAAGAAGTACATGGGAGTGTGGAGGTGAGGGTCCAGCCGAGACACCAGGATGATGGTGGTGTTGCCCACAAGGGTCAGGAGATATGCGATCAAGATAACCACAAAGAGGATTCTCTCCAGATGGGGCCGATCAGAAAATCCCAAAAGGATGAAATTTCCCTGGGTGCTTTCATTGGTTCCATCCATCTCTACTGCAACTCAACAAAATGGAAAAATAAATAAATAAATAAATAATAATAATAATGTACAGCCTCTAACCATTCTGTATGCCTATCATGTTAATAAAATTTGAAACTTTTAGTGAAAATATGTGGGCATAGCTTAAAAGTTTAAAAATAAACAGAGAAATTACATAGAAATTTTATAATCTGGCTCTAGGAAAACTATTCAAAACACAAAACATGAATAACATTTAAGAAAATAAGTTTTAGTGAAAATTAAAAATGGAATCATTTTTGAAGAGAATAAAAGAATAGAGAAAATAAAATATGCTGAGGAAATTTTCCTATAAAATTAAATATGAAAATCTTATAAAGCTTTGAGAAAATAATTCTTAAAGTTGAGAATTTGTATATTCTTCCTTTAGATGCTGAGGCAGCTGTACCATGATACACATAAAGAAAATATTACTCATTTGTGCAATACCTTGCCCTGGGGAGAAAGTTGGGGTGTCATTCTAAGATTAGATTTACTTCTTTTCCTTTTCTGTGAATAAATTTCCTGAATGTTTCTGAAGCGGGTTAGAAGTGGTTGATAGCTATTGGCATTCATTAATCCTGATAAACTTCAACTTCTCCCAAATTACTCCCCAAAATCTCAGACTTGATAGAACATTTTGGGGTCTCTTGTCTCTATGATTTTTAAATACCTGAACCAGATGTGATCTATCCATCTCTTAGATGCCACCACAGATGATGACTTCAGTTGTCCTCTATGATCAATAGAGCTCAGAAACAACACATTACTTAGTCCTATACATATCCCATACTTTACACAAGTTAATATAGCACCTTGTGAATGTAGCTCTTTTGAATTATTCCCACTCTCTCCTTCAGATCCATTTATGAAAGATGTAGAAGATTACATCCAGGTTCATTCTACAACTCCAATACCTGAATATTGACTTGTTTTCAGTAAAAGAGGGCTTCCTTTGTGGCTCAGTTGATGAGGAATCCACCTGCAATGTGGGAGACCTGGGTTCAATCCCTGGGTTGGGAAGATCCCCTGGAGAAGAGAACGACTACCCCCTGCAGTATTCTGGCCTGGAGAATTCCATGGACTATCCATTTGGTCGCAAAGAGTCAGACACAACTCTTTGTGAGTGACTTTCACTTCACCTCACTCAGTAGGAGAACCACAATGATTCATATTTTAATTAGCTATTGTAATAGTTACTGACTTTCTAATGGGTCTGGAGAAAAGATTACTTTTAAAACTAGATTTTCAATACTGGGAAAAGTTACAATTTCTTTATCTGGTTTATTACTGCTGGGAAAATTTTTCACTCTTTTGGCAAGATTCAGTCTTCCTCTATGAAGGTTCTATCATTCTTTATTTGCAGTATTTTTCTTATCTTTCTCTTCTGATAGCTTGTATCTATATATACATCCCCACATACTTATTTTCTTCTTAAGATACCCTCTATTCATGTATATAGGCATTTATTTCATCAAACCTTGCATTATTCCTACCTTTTGATGATGATTATATCTTATGGAGGTCTTAAGATTAACTTATTATTGTCTTTCTTGCATTGTTATTGAACACTAAGAGATGTATAATAAATAATACCAAATTGATTCAACTTAGAACAAAGTCACTTTATGCCAGAAAACTCTCTACCTAATTCTTGGGAATAAATTGTGTGTCATACTCATCTTTATACTTACTATATCAAAAAATGCCATATTTCACTGCCATTCTTAGAACACAATTAGCTCGGTGGAAGTGCAGAAGTGGGTTCCTAGTGCTTGTTATCATATCAAATAAAAATTTTGACTGCACATTCATTTCAATTTTAAATCTTTACCACCTCAACTTTTGACTTTTTTATATACGCCTATCCTACTACAGCCAATTAAATCATCTTGTTTTGGGCTTAAATTGGATGGTGGGATGGTTTTCTACTATGTTATTATCTGCTTCTTGGTCTGCTTTTTTTCCCCTCGGGTTTCTTCTCACTTGCCATGTCTTTCTATTTTCTCTCTATATCTCTACATATATATTTACTTCAATAAGTTCAGACTTTTTTTTTTTTCCTTCAGGACATTTTTATTTGAATAACTTACTGCAGTTTACAATCTTCTATACTTTTTGGGTCAAGGATATAAATATATTTTATCTATTTTATTTTGTATGCCCTTACATATAACTGCCCATTATTTTATTCAAAATTTATTTTCTGTGGGATATCTGTTAAAGAACTCTAATATATTCTAAGCATTCAATTTTATATGGTTTTGTGGTCCATTTAACTTTGAATTTGCTAGTATGTGGCATGTGTTCATCTCCAATGTGCCCTAGCATCATTAGTTAGATTTCCTAAGAATAGAGCTGATTCTTCTTTAGTGCTTTGTATATCTACATTTTCTGAAAGACAAAAAAATAAGTTTACTAATTAGCAATTTAATAAACAAACTAAGAAATGAAAAAAGATCAGAGGAAATATGCCATGAAAACTCTTCCTCATTATTTTAGTGGCATGTTGCCAAGTGCAGAGTCAAAGAAACTAATGTTGTCTGAGTACAAAAATAAAAGAGACAGATAGTCTAATTCCAGCAAAACACTCTGCTCTGTAATTTCTCTCTGTCCTTTGTCCTCTTGCTCTTGTGCCCAGAGAAGGTCCAGCCTGAAGCTGGTGGGCTGTGGGTGACTCCCTCCAATGTCATAAACAAAGGGAGTAATCCCTGTGAGAGAGGAAAGTGGGGAATCTCTCCTAAGCTTGGTCCTTTCCTAGTTAACACCAAAGGACCTGAACTTCCCTGAAGAGGGGGTTTTTATAGAGATAACAAGGCAAGAGTAGTCTCTCTGGAGAGAAGCCTGGATGACAGTGCAGAGAAGATCTAGAATAATAGGGATCTTTATGCTCTGGGGCATTTCAAAGCCCCATGCAGCATTAGTGTGTAAATTGGAAGGTTCAGAGGCAGAAGTCACAGGGGAAGTCTGTTGTGCTTTGATATAACTACTTTTTTTTTTCTCACTCTGTAACAGAAAATGAGCAGAACTGAAGATTTTATTTTTTGTATTTTTTCCCTTCTTTTCTTTACAGGTAATGTCCTTATAACATACTTTTAGCTAAAAACATAAAATTAACCCATAATGTTTATAAAAAATAATGAATCATTTAATTTTCCTCTTTTTTCCAAGAAATGTTTTACTATCCTAGTCAAGCAAGACATAAACATCTGCCTATAGGAAGATACAGCACAGTATCGTCTCATTTCTCTACTTTCTTACCACAGTAGGATTAGGGTTCAAATGGAACCTGAAACTCTTCCATAAAGCAGTTTATGGGGAATGACATAGCAGTCTGTGTTCACAGATTGTGGTGAAGAATATGACTTGTTGATTTTAATCTTTTCCATATTTGAAAAGGGAGTGTCAGCACATATGCATTAATACTTTAGCTCCAAAATTTCTTTGGGTAAATTTGAACTAACGATCTATCCTGTTTTGCAGTAACTTTATTGTGCACATATATTTCTGGTTTGTGAAAATAGAAGATTAAAGTAATTTGTTAACAGGATATCAGTTTGGTAACAGTGCATCAATCATCCAAACAATTTCATGAAAATTAAATCATCATATAAAGAGTTTCTTAAGCAACATTAACCAAATAAATCACTTAAAATCTTCCATTTGTCAGTTTTTGCTTTCAAAAAAATAAAAGATAACTTTGCTTCATTTCTTCTCTTGGTGCAAAACATAAGGTTTATTAGGAGCTGTGAAGTACACAAAAAAAACATAGTAGTTGCCTGATAGATACAGAAGCAATTTGATGAATATAATGAGTCCCAGTGCTAAAAATTCTTTTGCCCCAGAGACTCTCTGCCCAAGAGACTCTGTACATGTTGAATACTAAACTTGCTCTGCATGCTCTTTCTCAGAAGGCATGATCTTAATTCACTCTCCCCATACAGGTTAATGTGTAGCACTCTCTGTCTTTTTAGCTATAGGATAAACTTCCTACACTGACACAACATAAACTGGTTAGAACCTAATAGGTCCAAGATGGTAGAGGAGATGACCTACTAGACCTTAAGTCTCAGTTTACACTCATTGTAACACATCAGCAAGCTACATGACTCACCCATATACACCATGACAACTTTGAGGCTGATCATCAAAAATCAAAAATGGTTAGTTGCTCAATTCCTGTAAACCTCTGACCCTTCCCTGAAATAGTTGGAGCCCCACTCATTAGCCTATAAAATTACCCAGCTCATAAAAACACACAAAGCCATATTTTGAGGCTGCTCTCACCTTCCGAGATAGCTCACAGTCTGTCTGTGGAGTGTTTATCTCTAAACAAATCCACTTCCTAACTATCATTTTTGTCTCTCACTGAATTCTTTCCATGATGAGACACCACGAACCTTAAGTCCTAAAACCAGATGTGTGATCTCAGTTGGAAGACATGGGCTTTGGGCTTTGGCCTCATGGGTTCAAGTCTCAGTCAGAGTTCATTGTTTTCCAGGCATCTTGCATAGCAACCTTGAGATGTTTGTGTCTGGTTGGAGATCCTGAACTGATCATCTTCTCCTTCCCATACAAGGCTGACAACTGTCGCTTCAAATGCCCACCTTTACATGATGTATTGAATCTGCAGTCTTCTGTGGCCCATATCTTACCCCTTCATTGTTTGCTCTTTGTTTTTAGGGAAACATTGTCCTTTAAATAGTTTTCTGGAGCATTCAAATTTTTGAGAAGCTAAATATCTTTGTTTTAGCTTTTTACATGAAGGATATTTTGGTTAGCTATAATATTACACTTAAGAAACACAATTGTACTTCAGTTCATTATTAAGAAGTTGAAAACTATTCTACTTTCTGGTACTTTTTCACCTCTGTAAAAGCTTATGACTCTATTATTTATCTTGAGCATACCAAATAGCACAATATTGTGATCCACTAACCTAAGAAGTATCAGGAAGTACTTTAATGTGAACATACATGACTTTGAGAAAT